AGCAGGAATCTGGGTCCCTGAACTACCATGGTCAAGATAGCTACTCACTGACTAGGAACATCTACTGCAATTGTTACATGAGTGAGAAATATACCTCCACTGGGATAAGCCACTAAAATGTTGGGACTAATTATTAAAATGGCTAGTATGGTTTTACCAGTAAATCATCCAATGAAGAGATAGCTGTCCCTAACCACTCATGCCTGTGCACTTCGTTTTATTCAGTGAGCACTCTGCCAACTGACAGTGGAAGGGAAGTGTTAGTTACATAGCATTTGTAAAGGATCTGGAAGGGAGGTGGTTTATCAGTGGGTGACTTTCAGAGTTAACCATATGTTAAAGTGAGAATTCTATTCAGTGTCATCCACATCACTAGACCAGACCATGGCAGAATCTGAAAGTAAAAAGTAAAAGCAGAGGTATATCAAACCAATCTAGGCTTATTTTAACTCAACTATTAATAATAATAATAATATAATTTAAAATAAGACATCCAAATTTAAATTAGGTGGTATACCTGAACAACTGTGGAAACCCAGTTTTGGCTCCAGGAGATAGGAGTTAACATTCACATAGAAAACTTAATAATGACCTATACTAAGCAAAATAGGCTTCATTTGTAAATATGAATGGATAATCAAAGATTACATCTGAGGAATACATGCAGAAGGAACAAGATGAGCTAATAAAATACCTAAAGTAAGTGAACAACAAATATTTGGTGATAAAACTGACATTGAATTTAAAAATATTCAAGCCTGACAGTATGTACTTTTTTCTCTTAGCTGTGCAACATCAGCCAGATTTTACAAATGCTTGACTCTTTGAAAAACTACTTTGAAAATCAATCTAGTGCCTTACAATGGTATTGGACTAGTTTGTAAATGAGTCCTCTATTTGTTCTTTTTGCAAAATTTGTTCAAAATCAGTTGTGAATCTTTAATCAAGTGTTCAATGAAGGGAAGACCAAAGAAACTTAAAAGTTTTGAAGCCATTGAAAACAAAGTGTGTGACTAGGAAGCCATTGAATTTGTCACTACAAAAGCGAGGAAGGAAATGAACAAATCAAACAAGGAGAGCTCAAACAGTGTATCTGATTTAATTTTGCAATTTTATAATTGTGCTTTGTAATTTCTTGGGAGAAGAATTTTTTGATGAGCTTCCATTTTGGGGATAAATTTACATTCTGTAATGAATGGAATGAAATTGAAAAGACCTATTATTTTGCAACATCTCCCATTATCTGCCAAACATTGAAGATAATCAGAAATAGAACTTATTTGATGATTTTTTTAAAATGTTTGTCTAAGAATGATAACCTCAATGAAGTAAAAAAGGGACAGTAGTGATGAACATATATTGACTAAAATATTTAAATATTTCCAAACACAAAAGCATAATTAATAACCTTCACATAGTAGAATATTCCTGAGCTTACCAGGAATTCACCATATGTAGAAAGACTGTTTTTTCAATAAAACATGGGCTACAGAGAAGAGTCTATTGAAGGTGTCAACAAATTCAAATTTATTAATGATAAAATGCAAACTTGAAGAATATTACAATATTATGCACCAACTAAAAATAACAAGAACATATTTGTAATTAGAGTCCCAGAAGGAGAAGATAGAGACAATGTGTTAGAAAAACATTTGAAGAAATAAAGGCTAAAATATTTCCAAATATGATAGAAAATATCAAGCTACAGGTCCAAAAGCTCAAGATACCCAAGAAGGTTGAATAGAAAAAACATCACACACAATCACATCATAGTCAAATTGCTGAAAACAAGTAATAAAGGAAAAATCTTAAAAGCAGCTAGCGAAAAAAAGACATATTCCATAGAGAAGAACAGTGTAACAATGGAAGCTGAATTCTAATCAAGAGGACAACACAATGACATTTTTAAAGTGTGGAAAAAACCCTCTCAACCTAGAACTCTATATCCAGTTAAAGTATTCTTTAAAAAAAATGAAGAGAAAGCAAAGGCATTGTCTGATCCATGATCAAAGAAGAAATCACAAGAGAAATGGGAACTTATTTTGAAAGGAATGTTAAGGAACACCCATTGTATAAAAATTTGTGGATACAGTTAAAATGGTAGTGAGAAGGAAATTTATAGCATTAAATGCTTTCTTAGGAGAATAAAGGTTTAAAATCAATCACTTAAGCTACTACCTTAAAGAGCTGGAAAATGAAAAGAAAATTAAACTCAAAGTAGAGAACAAGAAGGAGCAAAGAGTAGAAGCCAGTGAAGTAGCAAATAGAGAAATAATAGAGGAAATCAATAAGGCCAAAAGTTGGTTCTTGGAAAAATTTAATAAAATTGATAATCCCTCAACCAAGAAATAGAAGGGATATGATACAAATTACCAATATCAAGAATTGCACAGGGGACATCACTAGAGACATTAAAATGATAATAAGAAAACAATCCATTGTCCGCTTAGCTAAAGGGATAATTAAAACATACCAAAACTGATCCAAGAAGAAAACAACATCTGGATGCTCTTATATTTGTTAAAGAAAGTGAATTTTAAATTTAAAAAAAAAAAACCTTTCCAGAAAAACTCTATGCCCAGATGACTTCACTGGTGAATTTTATCAAACATTTAAGTAAGAAATTGTATCAACCATACATCATATGTTTCAGAAAATAGAAGAGGAATATTTACCAGCTCATTTCCTGAGGGCAGCATAACCCTGTTATCAAAACCTGAGGAAGACATTTTAAGAAAAGGGAACTGTAGACCAATATCCCTCATGATCACAGGAACAAATATCATTGACAAAAATGACAAAACTAAGACAGTAATATATGAAAACACTAATATGCCATGACCAAATGTGAGTCATCTTAGGAATGCAAGGTTGGTATAAATACTAAAAAGTCATTCAACATAAATTGCCACATTCACAGATTAAAACAGAAAAAATAACATGATAATCTTAATAGAGGGACAAAAATTATTTGACAAAATTCAATATCCATCCATGGTAAAACATCTTAGCAAACTAGGAGAAAGGAACTTCCCCAATCTGATAGAAACAACTATGAAATACCTCAAGGTAATCATCATATTGAATGATGAAATATTGAACATTTCCTCTAGAGTTGGGAACAAGGCAATGAGATCTGCCTTTAGTGTGTTTTCCCACATTTTACTGCATGTTTTAAGCCACTGTAATGAGTCAAGTAAGAGATAAAGATTATATAAGAAGAAATAAAATGGCCTTTACGTGACCTTTACGTAATTGCACAGATAAAAACTGCTAAAGAAATACAAGGATCTACAAGAACTAATAAATGAACCTCACAATATAATTTAGGTATGCTGAAATCAATTGTATTTTTATATAGTAGTAAAAACAAAATGGAAAAGGAATTCAAATTTATTTACAATGCCATAAAGATAAAAATACTTGGAAAGTAAATCTACCTAAATCTGTGGGGCGCCTGGGTGGCTCAGTCGTTAAGCGTCTGCCTTCGGCTCAGGTCATGATCCCAGGGTCCTGGGATCGAAACCCCGCATTGGGCTCCCTGCTCCGCGGGAGGCCTGCTTCTCCCTCTCCCACTTCCTCTGCTTGTGTTCCCTCTCTGGCTATGTCTCTCTCTGTCAAATAAATAAATAAAATCTTTAAAAAAAAATCTACCTAAATCTATAAGATATTCCTGAGGGAAATTAAAGAAGACACAAATAAATGGAAAGGTAAACCATGTTCATAGATTAGAAGATTCCAAATGACTAAGATACCTATTTTCTCCAAACTGATCTGTAGATTCACTATAACCGAGTCATGAACCCAGAAGGCTTTCTGATAAATTGACAAGTGATTCTAAAATTAGTATCTCAATGGGAAGAACCAAGAATAGCCAAAATAATTTGGAAAAGAAAAATGCTGGACACATTATACAACCTAATTTCAAGATTTAATATAAAAGTTCAATAATCAAGGCACTGTGGTATTGGCTTTAGGATAGACAAACAGATCAATGCACAGAAATACAGCCACACATAAACTGTCAGCTGATTCTTTGACAGAGGTGCCAAATTAATCCTATGCTGAAAATGTAGTCTTTTTACTAATGATGCTGGAAAACTGAATGGATAACTATTATGGGAAAATAATGAACTTCTATCCACATGTATCAACAAATACAGATCTATGGATCATAGACCTAAATGTAAAATTAGAATTATGAGCTTTGAGAAGAAATCATAGATGGATTTTTTTTGTAATCTTGGAATAGGCAAAGATTTCTTAGAGAGGACAAAGAAAACACTGACCATAAAAAAATGATAAATTGGATTTCAAAACTTTAAAAATTTCATTTTATTAAAATACACCATTAAGAAAATGCATACAGGGCGCCTGGGTGGCTCAGTTGGTTAAGCAACTGCCTTCGGCTCAGGTCATGATCCCGGAGTCCTGGGATCGAGTCCCGCATCGGGCTCCCTGCTCAGCGAGGAGCCTGCTTCTCCCTCTGACCCTCCCCCCTCTCATGTACTCTCTCTCATTCTCGCTCTCTCAAATAAATAAATAAATAAAATCTTTAAAAAAAAAAAAAGAAAATGCATACAAAGCCCCCAGACTAGGAGAATAAATAGTAAGTTGTACTTTTACATAATAATGATATAGGAAGTACAATAAAAATAATATTCCATTTATATTATAATGTATAAAATATTTGAATTCCAGGCATAAACTTCTAACAATGAAACAAAAGGAAAAAATAATTGGAAAGTCATACCTTATGCTTGGTTGTATAGACTATAATAAAGATGACAACACTTCCTAATTTAGTAAAGATATTTTAATGTAAGACTAATTGATTTTTCTCAGGATATTTTACATAACATTTTTAAATGGGATTTCCAAGCCAAGGAAACATGCCTTTGTTTTTAGTTTATTGACTATTTCTAATAGTACATTTTTTATCAGATTGTATTGTGACAATCAGGAATTCTATAATTGGTCTTTGATTTGTTAGTAGATACTCAAACAAACCTTGAAAAAAAAGTTAAGAATACTGGAATAAATATTAGGCCATGAGCAGCCCCAAATACCATAACAAGAAACATAATCTTAAAAAATGTCCTGAAGATGTATGCTTTAGCTATAGATAAAACACACACCCCTATTACTGTTGAAAGTGCACTTTGTAACATTGGGTAGCCTAGCAGATACAATGCCTCAATTGCTTTTTGGTTTCCTGAGGGCTTAGAGCTGGAAACAAATGCATAAGAAATGTGTGCAGAAAAATCGAAAGAAAACCCTATGCAAATGACAAGATTAATCATGGATATGGAATCAAGACTGACATTCCAGAATGCCATGAAACCTGTTACTCCCACAACCACAGAAGTAATAGCAAAAGTCACCCACAAGGAACACAGTGGATGAGGAATTAACAATAAGGAAACAATGAACATAGCAGTTGATGCAACAATGACATTTCGAACAGTGTTTTCTAATACTGCGGTATACTGATCAAAATATATGAATGCCTGATTATACACCATTAGGGGAATTTCGCACTTTTTGGCTCTGCTTCGTAACTGGGATAACATCATCTTCCTATCGGTTGAAGAAGAAACACCCATGGTCTGAATGAAGCCCCGGGAAGAAATGATTTCATGTGATGATGAAATATTAATATCATACACAAAAAGTGGAAAATGTGTTAAAAAATTGGGCAAACCGTTCATAAAAGTGTCCTTATCATTTACATCTTGCTTGCTGTTTTCCATATATTGCACATACTCTCGTAACCAAAACTCTGTGAGATTTTTACCTACATAGTCACTGTTTTCCAAATCTGCCAGACATATTTCCAGTTTTTGCCTAGCATCTTTATCCCAGTAGTCAAGAGTTTCAGTAACAATAACCATAACCCTGGGACCATAATCCAAAAAATATTCTTCTTCTACATTAAAATATGGTGTGATGTAGGAATCGTCACTTGCCAAATTTCGAAGGTCTAAACCTTCCTGCACTAGGAAACACCCATAGATACTACTTATCATGTACAAAATGTATATAAGCACTACAAAAAATTTGGACCCAGTGCTTGTGAGAAAAGGGCCAAAATAGTCTCGAAAGAACAAATTCATTGGATGGATATCAGTTTCTTGTTCATCCGGGAGAGAATCACATGGGAGACAGCAGGACCTTTTCAATGAGGAACATTTTTGGTCAGGAGTTTCTGGCTTTTTCAACCAGCGTAGACAGACTACTTCTCTTTTACCATCCAGAGCCATAAATGCTCCAAAACAGATGAAGTTATAGAAATAACAGAAGAGCAGGGTTGTTCCTGTATAGATGCAAAAGTATTGTACGGACCTGAAAGAGGTCATAATCCCTGTATAGAAGGCCAGGACGTTGGTGATGGTGGTGATCGTAATCGACACAGCCACTTTGGAATAGACATTGGACAGCCGCTGTTTTATGTTGTCCCTGAGGCTAGTCTTCTGCCAGGCAGAAATCATTATGAACATATCATCAACCCCAACACCTGTTAAAAAAGGGAAACAATCTTCATGCTTATTAATATCCATTAAAAACTAAACACCTAAACTCAAACCATCTTCTTTGTCCATCTCTTATAAGATGTCTTATTTATCTTGCCCAATCTGTGCTTTGATACTATTTTCCCTGTTGTTTTCTCTGGTTGCCTCTGAATCCACAGCAGAATTCACGCCCTCCTCTGTGACAACTCTGTACTTTGTACGTACTCCCGTTATTTGTACATAGCACAGGATACTCTACTCCTAGTCTTCATGTAGGGTGTTTGAATGATGAGTCAGGAAACTGTTGTGGGTGTTAGTCGAAGCAGGAGTAGCAGTGTATCTTTGATTCCACTGGATTACTTGAGAGACCATTTTCCCTCATAAACCATTTTATACAGATGCACAAACACATCAAGCCAACATTCTGTTGCTTAAAATATAAGCTGGACTTATCTGTTCTACAGTTAGCATCTAACTATCAATGTGGTATGATTTGAGAGGCACCATATAGTTCTCTTTCTCTCTTTCTCTCCGTCACACACACACACACACACACACACACACACACACACCCTTTTCCTCCTAGCCTGTTTTTGGTACCCAGAAACTTATCATTTAAACTTACTTTCCCAGGTTAAGGCATTGTTAGTAAAATGCAAGTACTTTTTTTTTTTTAAGATTTTATTTATTTGGCAGAGAGAGACACAGTGAGAGAGGGAACACAAGCAGGAGGAGCGGGAGAGGAAGAAGCAGGCTTCCCGCGGAGCAGGGAGCCCGATGTGGGACTCGATCCCAGGACTCTGGGATCATGACCTGAGCTGAAGGCAGATGCTTGGACCTTTTTCCTTTTTTTTTTTTTTAAAGAT